CAAGTGATGGGGTTTGGTGGGATTTGAAGAGAACAACAAGAGGAGTAAGATAGTGGTGGTTGGGGCTGACGATGATGCCAGAATTAGCCCAAATCAGGCTTAATATCGGCGGCTGCCCAACCCAAAAAATCCTGGATCCACGGTCATCTTGCCGTTTACGACTATCGATATGACTAGAAAAGGCCATATCAATGTACGGTCGGCCAGATTCAACCAGTTGTGCACCATTCCGACGACATTGGTCGACGTTGGCTGCCGGTGGTGGTGGTGGTGGTGGTGGTGGTGGCCAGCTGTAGTAGTTCTGTTGGATGACTTGTAAACTGTTTTAGAAACAGAGGCATTACTGTCTAAAAAATTAATTATTTAGGGGTAAAATTGAAATGGTAGATAATTCATGTAAATTAATTTCAAAATAAGGGCATTATTGTCCAAAAATTTGAATAGTGAAGAGTAAAATTGTAAGAAAGATAAGATTACCAAGGAATTTTACAATACCTAAGAAAATTGAGGTAATCATATTACCTCCTATATTACCAAGAGTAACTGCTATTGGCATTAGAAGGTTACCGAAATCTTATATTACTTGACAACCAAACAAGGGAATGTCCGGAATCAAAGATAGATTATCGGGGTTATCTTCCTAGACCCCTAACCAAACGCAGCCTCAAGACTGTTGGTCATGCTTGAGAAAATCTAAAATCGGAATTTTGAAAAAAGCAAAAATGTCGTAATAGTGGGAATTTTGCAAAATTCATAGAAGATAAAATACTTATAATAAAAGTATGAAATTTGAACTTATGGCCATGCAGATGTTTGACTATATGGTTAAGAGGTTGAAGCATGGAAAGGGGTATTTTGGTAATTTTGGGACTTTTGACCTCCAAAGGGTAAAATTGTAATGCCCACATGGAGGTACGAAATTTAATTTATGTTCTTATGCCTTTAGTTGATTTTTGCTAAGGTTATTTTAAGGAAAATGTGAAGAAAATGCCTTAAACTTGCATTAAGGATAAAATGGTCTTTTCACTCAAAATTAGTTGAAATTGTGGGGAGTGAAAAGAGATAGAATTTCAGGGAGAATGCAATAAAAATGAGGGCATTATGGTAATTGACTAAGGGACATAGATGAAATATTAAAGAAAGTGCAAGGGTAAAATGGGAAACTATATATATTTTTTATGTTATATCAAATTGAAGAGTGAAACCCTAGCCACTCTTACCCATTTGCACGCCACTTTCACCTCCATATTCTCTCAAATTCTTCAATTCTTCTTCAAAGGAAATTCAAAGGTTTTTGGTGTTTTTGAGTGGATTTTCAATCTTAAGCTTCTATAGGTAAGATCCTTGCATAAGAAGTGAATTTTAGTTTTTAAGGTGTTGATTTTGATGGTTTATGCTCATAGGATTTAAGAGGAAGAGAGTTTGATCAAAGGAGATTCTTAAAGGGTTGAATTTGCTGATACCAAAGGTAAGTAAATCCTACCCTAAGTATAATTTAAGTTATGTTGTGTAGAGAACTTTCTTTATGCATATATATGTGTTATATGTAGAATTGTTGATGGATTTGGTGTTGAATAATGATTAGAACCTATCCATGAGAAGTTGTGTTGGTGTAGTTGTATTTTATGAGTTTTGGATGACGATTTGAAGAATTGAAGTGAAAATTTTGAAGTGTGTATTTTGGGCAGATTTGGTGTTAATTATGGAGGAGTTTTTTCCAAATTTTTGGGGCCTAAAATAGAGATAAAGTATAGCCAAATTAGTGTTGATTTGTGCACATGAATTGTTTGATGAATGTCAAGGAGAAGTGCATGTATATATGATTAGGTGTTACCTTGGGATGTGTTGTAGATGGTAAAGAAGGACATGTTTGCATTCCATAATGCATAATTGCATTTAAATATGTGAAGTTAGAAAGAATATAAGCATGAAACCATCTACATGCTACATATTCACAAGAGCATGAAAATGCCCTAATATTGTTAAAGAAAATAGAAAGAAATGAGAATATTAAAGATTTCAAATCTGAATTTTTCTTAAAGAAGTGTAAAAAAAGATAAAGAAGAGAAGGTTGTTGCGATAGGGAGCTGTGAGTGACATAGTCCCACATGCACGCCGCCTTTAGTGAGCGGCCTCAGAATTCAGAAAGAAGAAATGTATAGTCCGTTAGAAGTGTGTGTGGATGAGGACTGTACCCAGAATTAGAGAATCACTCACACTGCCAGGCTCCAAATCCATGCCTCAACCGAGTCCGATCGGCAAGAACAGAAAGAAAGAATAGAAAAAAGAAAAAAAAAAAGAGAAAGAAGCTAGAAAAAAAAGAAAAAAAAAATAGAAAGAAAGACTAGAAAAGAAATAAAGAAAAAAAACAGAATAAGAAAATAAAAGAAATGCATAATTTATGCATTTGGCATTTGCATCATGAATATCATAATACCATGCTCATTATCATGGGTAGTGAAAAATTTAGAAAACAGAGAAAAAAACAGAGAAGAATAGAGAAAGAACAAGAGAAAACGAGAAAGAATAGAGAAGACAGAGAGAATAACAGGGAAAGAATAGAGAATAATCGGAAAATGTGATGTAAGGAAAGAAAATTTGGAATTTTAAGCAACGGAGAGAGAGAAGGGTAGCATAGTGGGTTTACTTACTGAGCCATTAGTGCTCACTACGTTGTTTTTAATGTTTTGCAGGTAATAGGTGAGTTGCGGTCGCTCGGAACGTCACGCAGTGGAAGGGTCGGGCTACACTATCAAGTTGCTATTTTTGAGAACATTTTGTAAATATTTGTATATAAAGAAAAAGTAAATATGAGCCCATACTTTATTACTCGTATATATATGTGTATTTTCTTATATATATTTTTAATGAGTTTTAGTGATTATTTTACGAGTATACTAGCTAGAAAGAAAGCATTACATTTTTGGTATCAGAGCAAAGATTTTGGGATTTGACAGTGTGCCTCTCCTGCCACGTTGATGTTCCGTAGCCGACCGCTATAAGTTAATTCTTTCCTTACTTGTAGTAGATGAGTGAATTGAGTTGACTAAAAGTGTTGGTTTATGTAGATGAGACGTAGAACCCGAGGAGGCAGTAGGAAGGAAATGACACGGGTGAACCTTCCAACCCTTCAGAATCTACTCCCCCTGTCCTCGATGAAGCGAGGATTCGTAATATTATACAGCAAGTCTTGGCAGAAAATCAGGGAGGCTCCGTACCAGAGAGAGTTGAGACCCCGGTGATTGTATTGACCCCCAGAGAGGAGAGAGAGAGGCCGATACCACCAGTAGTGCAGAATCGTATTAAGCCGATTTATGGGTTGCCTAGTCAACACCAGCCGTCAGAATTTAGGGGTACAGTGGACCCACTAGTGGCAGATGAGAGGTTTAGTATAACGCCCACATGGAGGTACGTAATTTAATTTATGTTCTTATGCCTTTAGTTGATTTTTGCTAATGTTATTTTAAGGAAAATGTGAAGAAAATGCCTTAACTTACATTAAGGGTAAAATGGTCTTTTCACTCAAAACTATTTGAAATTGTGGGGAGTGAAAAGAGATAGAATTTCAGGGAGAATGCAATAAAAATGAGGGCATTATGGTAATTGAATAAGGGATATAGATGAAATTGTAAAGAAAGTGCAAGGGTAAAATGGGAAACTAATATATAATTTTTATGTTATATCAAATTGAAGAGTGAAACCCTAGCCACTCTTACCCATTTGCACGCCACTTTCACCTCCATATTCTCTCAAATTCTTCAATTCTTCTTCAAAGGAAATTCAAAGGTTTTTGGTGTTTTTGAGTGGATTTTCAATCTTAAGCTTCTATAGGTAAGATCCTTGCATAAGAAGTGAATTTTAGCTTTTAAAGTGTTGATTTTGATGGTTTATGCTCGTAGGATTTAAGAGGAAGAGAGTTTGATCAAAAGAGATTCTTAAAGGGTTGAATTTGCTCATATCAAAGGTAAGTAAATCATACCCTAAGTATGATTTAAGTTATGTTGTGTAGAGAACTTTGTTTATGCATAAATATGTGTTATATGTAGAATTGTTGATGGATTTGGTGTTGAATAATGATTAGAACCTATCCATGAGAAGTTGTGTTGGTGTAGTTGTTATTTGATGAATGTTTGGATGCGATTTGGAAGAATTGAAGTGAAAATGTTGAAGTGTGTATTTTGGGCATATTTGGTGTTAATTATGGAGGAGTTTATTCCAAATTTTTGGNAAGAAAATTAACACAATAAAATGATTAATTAATTGCTAAAATAATATTTTAATTAGATCTAATTGTTACATCTAAAAACGTGATAAGTCAGTCCTTGTAATTTTATTAATTAAAGTTTCATCGGTCTTTCTTTACATGTATCATATTATCTTTTTTTTATTTGATAGCTATGATATCCAATTATTTCAAGAGATTAAAGAAAATTCTAGCAGAAATTGTTGATGGAGACTCTATTGATATTGAGGTTAATCAAATCCCATTAGAAGAAGAAGCCCCACATCAGCAACAACAACTCCAAGTAAAAGAAGCTCAACCTTCGGTCGGGATATTCAATTTAGATGAGCTTAAAACTGATCCAGGATTGAGGATATCAATTAACGAGATTTGTTGTACTGACAAGCAAAAAGAGAAAGTTTGAAGAGCATACTTGTTGAAAGGTCCTTGCCAACCTAAAGATCATAACTTTTCTTTCACTCTTTTCGGAGTTAAAAAGCATAGGTTTACGCCAGAGTGGTACAAAGAAGGTCTAAGTTGGGTGGAATATAGTGTGGCAAAAGATTGCATCTTTTGTTTAAATTGTTATCTTTTCAAAACTGATTATGGTGACCAAACAGGTGGTGAAGTTTTTGTGAGTAAGGGATTTAATAATTGGAAAGATAAAACGAAAGTGAAAAAACATGTTGGAGATCATTCTAGTACTCATAACCAATGTCATGCCAAGTGTGTTGATTTGATAAAACAAAGGCAACACATCGATATAAATCTTGCTTGCATGTCAAAAAAGGCCAAATTGGACTATCGCATTCGCTTGAATGCATCAATTGATTGCATTAGATTTCTTTTACATCAAGGATTGGCATTTCGTGGTCATGATGAGTCGGTTGAATCTGAAAATCAAGGTAACTTTATGGAACTATTGAAGTTTCTATCCAATCATAATGACGACATAAAAAAAGTTGTGCTGGAAAATGCTCCAAAAAACCATCAAATGATGGCCTTCAACATCCAAAGGGAATTAACTAGTGTTTGTGCTCATTTGACGACTAAGAAAATTATTGCAGAAATTGTGAGAGATAAACAATCATTTTCTTTACTAGTTGATGAATCTCGTGATGTGGCAGTGAAAGAACAAATGGCTATTATTTTTCGCTATGTGGACAAAATAGGTTGTGTTATTGAACGTTTTATCAGGGTTGTGAATGTTAAGAATACTTCTGCAAAGTTTTTGAAAATTGCAATAGATGCTTTTTTTGTAAAGCATGGATTGAGTTTGACAAGTTTACGGGGGCAAGGTTATGATGGAGCAAGCAATATGAGAGGTGAGTTCAATGGTTTGAAGACTTTGATATTGAGAGAAAATAAATCGGCTTTTGACATTCATTGTTTCTCTCATCAACTCCAACTGGCGTTGGTCAAAGTTGTAAGTAACCATTCGACATTGGGTGAATTTTTTTAATCTTTTTCTATGTTATCAAACATTATAGCAGCATCTTGTAAGCGCAGAGATCTTCTACTTGATAAACAATATGAAAATGTGATATCTTTGATTTCTAATGGTGATCTTCATATGAGACGAGGTTTGAATCAAGAATGCACTATTAAACGACCAGGAGATACATGTTGGGGTTCACACATAGGGAAAATTCATAGTGTCATAAATTTACTTTCTTCTGTTGTTGATGTGCTTAGGGTGATTGAGATTGAAGGAGACGATTGGCAAAACAAAATTCAAGCAAGGAGTTTATTACGAATCATGGAGAATTTTGAATTCGTCTTTTTGTTATTCTTAATGAAAAGAGTATTGGGAATCACAAATGAACTGTCACAAGCATTACAAAGAAAATATCACAATCTTCTTAATGCCATACAATTTGTACAAATTTCGAAGCTTCGATTGCATAAAATGAGAAATGAAGACACTTGTTCGACATATTGTTAAAAGAAGCTTCTGATATGTGCAAAGATAATGACATACCAATCTTGGAGAATATGTAAGATAACTTTGGGAGGACAAAATGGGGGACTACGCCAATTACGAATAAACATCATTTTAAGGTGGAATTGATGTATACAGTTTTGAATAACATTCAAGAAGAACTCAATAATCGTTTTGATGAAGTAAATATGAGGTTGCTTCAATGTATGTCATCTCTTGATCCAAGTAACTCTTTTGTTGCATTTAACAAAGATAGATTACTTGAATTTGCAAAGTTTTATCCTGCCAATTTTCCTCAACACGATATTTGGTTGCTCGATGATCAACTTGAAAACTATTATGAGGATGTTAGCACCAATGCCAATTTCACTCATGTCGAAGGGATTGCCAACCTTGCTAAAAAAATGGTTGAGTTTAAGAAGGATGTTGCTTACAACAAAGTTTTCTTGCTTATTAAATTAGCATGGGTTTTGCCTGTGGCTACTGCAACAGTTGAAAGGGTGTTCTCTGCAATGAATCTTGTGAAAAATAGTTTGCATAATCAAATGGGAGACGACTGGATGAACAATTGCTTGGTGTTTTACACTGAAAATGAAGTTTTTGCTACAATTGAAAATGAAGATATCATTGAACACTTTCAGAATATATCGAAGCAGAAAATCGTGTTAAATTGAAGGTCTTCAAGTATACCATTCTAACTTGCTTTCATATTTAAACAATCAATATTCATATATTTAAATTTTCAGGTATACCATTCTAACTTGATTTTTTGGTCAATACGTAGAGGATGTGTGGATCTTTAATCTAAACGGTTGAGTTTTGATATTAACGTCTGGATTTGGAGTTATATAACATGAAGTTTGACTGCTTCTCTGGTGATTTTAATCTATCTCTTTGTAAACTTTTATGTATTTTACTTGTGCTAGAGTTGTGATTGACCTCTAAATTTGTGTGGAATATTTTTGTGGATTGTGGTTGCTGTTAACTCTTTTGCTTAAGGTTTGGTGGTTTTTTAAAAGTTTTCATTAGTTGTTTGGCAAACAATAGCGAAGCCGTGGAGGCCCCCCGGGCAAAAATCCTGGCTCTGCCATTGCCTACAATTGGTAATCTACTCACAAATTGAAGACTTCTCTATTTGATTATACCTGAGTTTTTCCTAATTATCGCTTCTTGTAGATTCTTAAAAATATATATATATATACATAGTAATCACCTATATTAATATGATATATTTTGATTAAAACAAAAAATCAATGTAAATTTATTTTTTGTTTTAGTTTGAAGATTTATCTATATTAATTTGTAATTGTTTATTTTTAATTTTAGTTTGTTAATAGAAAATTAATAAAAACCAAACTAGAAATCCAAAATATCCCTCCTCAATTTTATGTAAAGACTTTTTTTTTTTTTTTTTTGGTGGCCTCTTTGTATTTCTAAAAATTAACAAAAGATAATAAAATACAACAAAATATAGATTACAAATTGATAAGGGTCCAATATTGGAGCCTAATGGTGGATTGTTGCCCTTTTTTTTAACTTCGACCATACTTTTAGAGTAACGTTGAGCTAACCCGCGACCTTCTTACAAGAGCTCACTCCAAGGAGTGTCCTATTGTAGTCTTGTCATTACTAAAGTCAAAACAAAAAAGACCATGCACAAATTTTATGCAGAAAAGGTGTGGGAGCCAAGCATCCAACTAGTTAGTGAAAGCATGCATGTTTTAGAAAATGTTCTAGGTGATCAAAATAATGAAATTGAAGTCAAATAATTTAATAGAAAAATCAAATTTCATAAACGTAGAAAATTCGAGGAAAACAATGTTTTGGTCTAACGTAGATCATGTCTAACAACTTACAAGAAATCTACGGCTGTGTTTGTTTTATTATTTTGAGTAATATTTTTAAAAAAGTTAATTGGATTGTTATTACGAGGATAGAATTTGAAAATTAACAAAAACATCCTCCAGATTTTTTAATTTAGCTAAACACCCCCTACAATAAAACATTGTAAATTAACAAAAACACCCCCATCTACCCATTAAATGTTGGCAACCGACCACCATCGCTGGAGGGTGGCCAAAAGTCTCAATAATGGCGCACGATCGACTGGATCTGGCCAGTCATGCACCGATCTATCATTTTCCGATCAGATTCACCATAGATCTAGCCGACAAAGGCTAGATCGGCTAGATTTGAATGTTGACGGCCATATCTGGTCATCAATGACGACCATATCTTGGCCATTGTTGATGACCAGATGTGGCCAAAGATCTAGCCATAGATTTGGCCAGAAAATGTCAGATTGGCGCACGACCGGCCAAATCTAGTTGGTCGTGTGCCATTACGACGACTTTCAGCCACCGTCTGACGATGGTGGTCCGCTACCGGTATTTAATGGGTGGGTAAGGGTGTTTTTGTTAATTTTTTTTTTTTTATTATAGATGGTGTTTAGCTAAATTAACAAACCTAGGGGTTTACAAATAGTTAAATAGAATATGATTGGATTTTGAGAATAGGGAAACAAATATGTATTTTGCGTAGGATGGGAATAGGATAGGGAAACTAATGCAACTTACAATGTTTGTAGGATTTTGTCTTTTGACTTCAATTTTGTACATAAAAATATGTATTCTGGCTTGGAAAAACTACCCAAAGGATTTATGAATGTAAAAATATGAAATGATCTTCCAAAAATGTTAAAGGGTAGTAAGGGAAAACCTAGTGACATGATTGGATTCCGATGTTTGCAGAAACAAATTGATTTTGATTCGTTGGTGTGATTTGTATGGTGTTTGGGGATTGATTTCGTTTTTGAAGTGTTTGGGAATAATGGATGCAATGTTTGAGTGTTTAGATTTGATGGAGAAAGAGTGAAAGTGGCTAGGGTTTTTGAATCAAACCTCTCGATTTCTCTTTCACTTTGGAATAAAGGTTACAAAATGGTGTTTGAATGCTAAGAATTCTTTAAAGGTCAGTGAATGAAAGTTTCATGATGCTTTGAATGAGAAAGCTCTAGCCTTATGTAGAGGCTTGGAGATAAATGATAAATATTTGAAAAAGATAAATAGAATAATAGATAATTAGTAAATTTAGGATAAATCGGATCTAGAATTTATATAAGAATATAAATCCATTAAAGAAAAATTATGGCAAATGATAGACTTAAATAAGTCCAAGTACATTTAGAAAAAATTATTCATTTAAATAAAAGATAATTGCTCAATGAATATTTAGTAATTTAATAAATAAAAAATATGTAAATAGTGAATTTATCTAGACATAAGCATGTCTAGATTCATCGAATTTAAAATAAATAAATAAGGATAACGTAAATGATTTATATTAAGGATTTTAGGATGATAAATCCTGGAAAATAATTTTATTGTTAGATAAATAAATATAAAAGAGATAAATACTTTAAAGTAATATTTGGTCTAAGATAAATGTTTAAGTAAAATATATAAAAATAAATAAATTCGGGATTTATATAATTTAATTGATAAGATGAGAGATAAACCTAAAAATAATTTATCTCTTGATAAAAATGAAAAAAAAAAAAAACAATTATTAAAGCATGATCAAGGAAATAACCAAAATGCCCCTTATAGGTTTTTGTACATAATTTTGGAAATCAAAGTTTTTTAGTGCAAGCAAAACCTTTGTAAGGGTTTTTTAGTAGTTTTGAGGGTACGTTTGGTTCAAAGAATGTTATATTAATAGAACGATAGATTACCTTGAAGATTATTGGGAATATTATATTAAATTTGTTTTGGTTAGATAGGAATAAATTGGTGAGTATGATATATTGATATGTTTGGTTGAGAGGAATAAATTGGTGGGTATTTATATAGATTACTAAATTGTCCACCTTTTATAATATTAATATAATATTATTTTTTGAATAATTTTTTTAACCCCTTATATTTGAGATTTTTCTAAAACACCATAACCACATAAAAGTTTATATTTTAACAAAAACACCCCACCCACTCAAGCCATTACCGGTTGCCTAAACCACCACCAACCGTCAATCAGGAAGTGCAACGGAGATGTTCATTGAGGGATTTTAAAGAGGAGGTGAAAGGGAGTCAATCGATGCAAGTGGGGTGATTTTCGGTAGAAAACGCAACTGAAAAAGCATAGAGAAAAAGGGAAATTGCAAAAAAACAATGGGCTTCGCCAACGATTGGTGGCAGCTCTAGTGATGGGGTTTGGTAGGATTTGAAAAGGAAAACGAGAGGAGTAAGATAATGGTGGTTGGGGTTGACGGTGATGTCGAAATCTGCCCAAATTGAGCTTAATATCAGCTGCTGCCCAACCGAAAAAATCCCAGATCCACAGCCATCTTGCCGTTTACGGCCATTGATATGGCTGGAAAAGGCCATATCGATGCACAACCGGCTAGATTCGATCAGTTGTGCGCCATTTCAATAACGTTGGCCAACGGTGGCCGTCGATGGTGGTGGTGGTGGTGGTGGTGGTGGTGGCTGTAGTAGTTCTCTTGGATGGCTTGAAAACTGTTTTAGAAATAAGGATAGTACTGTCCAAAACTTTAATTATTTAGGGGTAAAATTGTAATGGTAGATAATTCATGTAAATTAATTTCAAAATATGGGCATTATTGTCCAACAATTTGAATAGTGAAGGGTAAAATTGTAAGAAAAGTAAGATTACTAAGTAATTTTACGATACCTAAAAAAATGGAGGTAATCAAATTACCTCCTATATTACCAACAGTAACTATTATTGGTATTGGAAGATTACCGGAATCTTATATCAATGTTCTAAAAACCGGACCGGGAGCCGACCCGGCCAAACGGCCGGTTCCCGGTTCGAACGGTTCAACCGATCCGACCGGTCGGTCGGACCGGTGACGTCAGCATGCTGACATCAGCATAATGTCATGCTGATATCAGCATGCTGAAATAAGAAAAAATTGTAAAAAAAGCTAAAAAATTCAAATTTTCTATCTAATTAAAGTTTAAAAACCATAAAAAACAACCCTACAACAATAATTTCTTCATCTAATTAAAGTTAAAATTTTAAAAACCATCAAACCAACTCTACAACAATAATTTCTCCATCTAATTAAAGTTTAAACTTTAAAAACCATCAAACCAACCCTAAGCTACAACAATAATAAAACCATCAAAGTTTGATAGTTAAAGNGGTGACTTTCTGGTTTTCAAGTACTATGCAAAATCAATGTTTAGTGTTAAAATCTATGATAAAACCAACTGCGAGAGAGATATAGGGCCTGCCAAGATGAACAATGATAATCCCAATTTTTGCTTAGAGAATAGAAATCAAAATCAAGCAATAGTTAGAATCCAAGACTCCAAACCTGTGATTTTCAAAGCTGGTAATGAAAGAAAACCAGTTAACTCTGTCCAAGGTAAGATATATCAAACTTTACCTTCTCATAGTCAAAATTAAGTTTGCTGTAAGTTATTTCTTCCAAGCTCATTTCCGGGAACAAACTTGTCTTTCAAGTGGACAGGCAAACAACAAGATCAACACTTCCATGCAGATCAGAGAATTACTGTTTTAGATTAACTTGGACGGAGTCTTACAAATATATTATGGTGAGCTTTTTTTTTTTTTTCTAAAGTAAATAAGTAAATGGAAGCAGAAAGATGCATAACACTTCTACGTATTTGTTGTTTCCTCATTG